TTGATTTGGAACAGTGGCAATTACCAATGCTCCGTTACCTTTGCTTTCTAACTAATCAAAAATGCTGTAGATTGGTAGCGTGCAGTTTTTTGGACGAGTTTTACTACAAAGTCTCCAACCATAACCTACAGATGCGTTAGGAAAGGATTCCTAGACGAATGCAATTATGTACCAGTTAAAGGGAAAGCCTTAATCGTCATCAGTTCAGACTATCAAAGAAGTCTTTTTTAGTGGTCACGTAACCTTTGAGCAATTCAAAGGATAGCATATAAAGACATGAATCTCGTCGATAGAATACATAATGCCGGTAAATTCCAAGGAGTGTGAAATAATTCGTTGAATTCGACAAGTGTACGTAATCTCATTAGCACCAATACGCTGAGGCTGCCTGTTCCATAGAAAACGAAAAAACGCCGCTCCACACGCCTGAGACTAGTCAAAAAACTGCCTTTTACTGGAAAATTGAGGGGGACAGGGGCATTAGTTAACGAGAGCTCTCTGTAGTGTAATGGAGCAGTACGGCATCAGTAAAATACAACTTGTTATTAAATTTCCCAACTTGTTCTTAAATTTCCTGCTCAATCAATACTTACAGGGCTAAAAAAAGAGGTGAGCGGTTGTATGGCGTACTTAAAGCCTGGAAAGGAAATGTAAAAAAGATGTTCTCTGAAGTAAAAGGGGAATTATCAAAGCACGAGTTAGTTTTTTTTTCAAAGTGAGCCATATTTCCATTATTACTCAAACATTAGCGGAATATTTGAATTTGTGTGAGATACATTGAAAAATATCGAAGAACGCAGGGAAGAGACCCTTACTTTGAACAAAAACCTCGCTTTTTTCGGCAAAAAATCAGAAATTCGGACTTGAAATGCCATTGGTGTGATAACGTAGAATTCGTAAATAGTAAGGTAGGAGAGAGCCATTTCATGCCTAGTCCTAATATGTGACTAACTGGCAAATATGTAGGTAAATGACAAATATTCATAAATGAAAAACCACATTTTGTCGGCTCTACATACTGAAAATGTGTGTCTCCCAAAGCTGCCAGTAACCCGAAATGAGTGAATCCACTGGCTCGATTCGCCAGAAATCCCTCGAGATTCTATAAACGGAATTTTGGCTTCACGATTTCCCCTTGAACTCAGTTGTGGTCAGTTTCAATTCTTCATTTTTCTTATGAAGAAAACGATCCGAATTCAAATGAGTCTGTCTGCATCATCGCCCCAAATGGGCTTACTTCTTGCGCAGTCGTCTTAAAACAATCCAAGTCTATGAGGCGTAATCCAAGATCGGAAGAGCCGCAGCGCCAAGTAGATGGGCATGGAGCCGGATGTTCTTCATCTCCGTCATTTTCTCAAATGCTACAAATGTAGCGTGGGCAATTTTCTGTTCAACTCCTTAGCAATGCCATTCACCACCTCGTTGACTCTTTGACACAGGAACACGTGGCGGCAGTATTTCGAGGTTTTCGTTCTGTGAAGCCAAAATAAAATGAGCACCGTAGTCGGTCAATTTCTCGTACGAGTCCATCTAAGTTAAATGTTGTAACCATGGTTTCGTTTGTAAAACAAAAGCGTAATGGTCCGCCGCCGACCTTTACTACCATGGTTTTTACGCCCATTTCATCCTATGCTTTCGTAAAGGTACTGAAAAGGTTGGGCGAGTTGGTATCCACGTGTCGGACGCCTTCCTCCGATGTTGTTGCATACAGCTCAGAAAGTGACCTCACATAGTGAAAAGGAAGACTTTGGTTATCCAGAGCTTGGATGATCGATTATGGTCTCAGCAGCTACGAAATGCTTTTTCGAATGGATGAATGTAGTTCGTAGCAGCATTTAATATTCTTGCGTCCCTTGTATGCTCCCATCGTCATTCATCGCCTTGTGGGAAGTACAAAGCCAAAAGTATCCCGACTGACGTGAGTCCACACGAGTTCCGAGCTCCCACAAGGTACGAAGGCCATAGTTATTAACTGAAACTCGAAAATCAGGTGAGTCGAGCCATTTTGTGATAACCAAAAGACCCGACACGTTCGGCTGTAGAATGGATTTCGTGGGACGCCAGGAAGACACAAGTCCGGACCACCGGTCAATGTTCCTGCCACCCACTGGAAAACTTCGATGATTAATGTAACCACATACCACATATGGCGATTCAAAGGGTTTTTAGAGTTAAAATCATGAGAATATGTGATGAATGCGAGTTAAGGTGACCCTATCAGTCATTGCATAGCTAACGTCAACAGGAATGGAGTGCAATGCAATCAATCTGGTGAAAAGTGACGAAATTCTCCTGGGGACCCATAGGAGGAATGCACTCTCAGCGACCTCAAAAGTTTTTCTTCGCGAATCTTTTCATTTCAAGTATCTGGGAGCATAGAGATAGTAATATTCTAGGCTTGTAACCACTGATTCACAGAGAAAATGACCGAATAACTGATTGGTTGGGCCAGAAGAACGCAATGGCAAGTAGGGAGGCATCAGAAACCGGTCAATAATTCATTTTTTGAACGAAAGGCGAATGAATGGCGTACCCTGGAGCAAAATTGACAAA